GGGCTCTCCTTCTTGGGAGGTTTTCAAACAGAGGCTAAATGGCCACCTGACAGCAATGCGGATTCTGTGAATTTAGGCAGATCATGAGAGGGAGGGCAGGAAGGGTTGCCTCGGTGCTTAGTTCTTGTGGCCCTTTCCTACACGCCCAGGGAAATGCTGAACGCCACTTTGTGGTCAGGAAGGAATTTCTTCTCTAGGCTAGATAGCCCAGGGATCCTGGAGGGGCTTCCCCCCCTTCCTCTGGACATAGAGCAGGGGTCACTGGGAGATACGGGGGAGATAGTTGTGAATTTCCTGCATTGTGCAGGGGGTTGGACTAGGTGACCCTTGGGGGAATCTTCCAGCTCTATGTTTCTATGAAGAAGAAGGAGAAGGAGAAGGAGAAGAAGAAGAAGAGGAGGAGGAGGAGGTGAAGAAGAAGAAGAGATTGGATTTATACCCCGCCCTTCTCTACCCAAGGGTGTCTCAGAGCAGCTTACAAACTCCTTCCCCTTCCCCTCCCCACAGCAGACACCCTGTGAGGTGGGTGGGGCTGAGAGAGCTCTTGATAGAAACTGCTCTTTTTCAAGGGCAGCTCGTGTCAGAACTACGCCTTGCCCAATGTCATCCAGCCAGGTGCAAGTGGAGGAGTGTGGAATCAAACCCGGTTCTCCCAGATTAGAATCCGTGCACTTAACCACGACACCAAACTGGCTCTCAATAGATCAGGAAAGTGTGTGTGAGGGGTGGTGGTAATCCATGTATGCCACCAAGAACTCAAAGATGAGCAGGGTAAAAAAAAAAAAAGAATTAACGGTGCAAACCTGCAAGCTCCATAACATTTACTATTAAATCCACGTTAATGCCTCTTCAGGGTATCTGTTTCTCTCCTGCTGTTTGCCTAATAATGCCTTTGCTCATTCTATTTTAGGGTTGCTTGAATTTCTGTGATCGTTCACCCTCTTGGGAGTCTATTATTAGGAAGTAGCATGCACTGGGTCTCACAATAAGTTGTAAATATACACGGGAGCACCCTGTGGAATCGTTTTAAGGCGCTGGCACAATTCTACATGGGCTTGGTACAAGGATTCCTGGCAACAGTTCCCTACGGTTATTCTCCTTTCTGTAAAGCATCCCTACGAAGCCCTTCGGTCCCACAAAAGCCTTTGCTTGCCTTTCCCTCCATGTCCCTTATAGTCCCGCTGTACACTGCATGGGTCAGGCTGCACCTGGAACACTGTGTGCGGTTCTGGAGGCCTCCCTTCAAAAAGGGGCGACTCTGCATCCAGCAGCTCAAAACCACATTCAAATCCCTCGGGGGCAAGGCCGTACTGACCTCAAAGTCGCCCCTGAAGGGCAATAAATCTATGCAGAAGGTACCATAAGATCCGATGCTCAAAGGAATTGAAAGCAGCATGCAGTGCGGATGGGGAATTTCTGTTCCAAGGTGGGTCTGGTAAAACGGACGGAGGGAAAAATCAATGCAGAATCAGCCAAGGATGTGGACAGAATGGAGCGGGTGCAGAGGAGAGAGACGAGGATGAGGGGTGGGGCTGGAGACCAAGAAGCCCTGTGAGGAAAGGCTGAGGGACCTGGGAATGTTCAGTCTGGAGAAGGGGAGGTTGAAGGGGGGGGGCAGGATTGCTCTCTTGAAGTCTTTGGAGGTGTAACGATTTCATGTTTATTTGTGTGTGTGTCTTTAAAAGTTTGGTTTACATTGCTGTGTGAAAGTCTAGTGTGGTTGAAACAGGCAAGTGGTGTGATTGGTGAGTGACAGAGAGGGGGAGGGGTTTTGGAATGGACGCCGTGTGGATGATTGGAATGTCTATCAGGGGTGACTGTTGGAGATATGACAGTTGATGCAGACAGTGGAAGTTTGTTAAGCAGTTTTGTCCTGAGGTCTCTGTGAGAGAAGTTTTCCTGTGTGGAAAAAGAGTAAAAGTCTCTGTGTTAAGCAGACAATTAAGTTCTGTCTCTGAGGGAAGGAGACTTATCCCTGTGAAGCAGTCTTGTGTGATATAAGAGTTCAGAGTTAAATATTTGTGTGTGAAAGGAGAGACATTCGGTTCTGTGTTATAGGAGTTACAATTAAAAGCTGAGAGTCTAGGAAAAAGTACAGTGAAAAGTGTTACAAGGTTGCTTGAAACCTCCCTGTCAGAAAAGGAGAAGCTTGTGAGAGACACCAAGCATTTGTTCAAATCATTCCCAGTACTGTTTACATTGTTTACCTTCGTATTTATGCTTTCTTTAAATAAATCCTATTTCCTTCAAGTATACCAGCTCAGTAAAGATTCCTTCCTCAGACCACATAGACCTTCATGAAAGCCCAGACCCTCGGTATACCTACCCAGTGAGAAATATTATAGAAAAAGGTTTGGAAAGCCTTAAAATTTTCCTGGTGGCAGCCGGATTACAGAGTAAAACAAACCAGAAAGAACATTTTTAAAGTAAAACTAGACCTCCCCAGAGAAGAGGTCGTCACAGGAGGGCTGTCCCTTAGAGGAGGGCAGGGAGCTGTTCCTGTTGGCAGCAGAGGAGAGGACTGGCAAGAATTGGTTTAAATTAAGGGCTGGAAGGTACCAGCTGGATCTTAGGGAAAACTTTTTGACAGTCAGAGTTGTGCAGCTGTGGAATCAGCTCCCCCTCCCTGGCAGTCTTTCAGCAGCGGCTGGAAAAACACTTGTCAGGGAGGCTCTAGGCTGATCCTGCACTGAGCAGGGGGTTGGACTGGATGGCCTGTTTGGCCCCTTCCAATTCTGTGACTCTATGATTCTACTGGTTATTCTAGCATCCCACCCACCCCTCCAATATAAATTTAACATTTCCATTTTGTTTTTCAGAGACCCATGTGTGGTTCTACTCTGGAGCCACAGGTTATAGACCCCTGGAACAAAGCAACCTTCTTGCAGCTTCTCAAGAGCCAGCATAGTGTAGTGGTTAAAGTGTCGGACTGGGATCTGGGAGAACCGGGTTTGATTCCCCACTCCTTCACTTGCAGCTGCTGGATGACCTTGGGCAAGCCATAGTTCTGTCAGAGCTGTTCTCTCAAGTGAAGGCCGGCTCCAGAGCAAACTGATTTATGCAGTCACCAAACCGCTCGCTCACAACTTTAAGGCCTGTAGCTCACAAAGTAGAATTTTTGCTCACAAGACTCTACAGCTTAGAGGGAACATTGCTCACAGGGTGTCTGTTGTGAGGAGGGGGAGGGAAAGGAGTTTGTAAGCCGCTCTGAGGCACCTTTGGGTAGTAAAGGGTGGGGTATAAATCCAGTCTCTTCTCTTCTCTTCTTCAAAGATATTTTTAATTTCACAATCATCATTTTACTGTGACAAACCAACAATGGAAACTCATTTAAGGGTTGGGTTTTTTTTACCTAAATGAGAGGTAGGGTTGCCAAGTCCAGGTTGGAAAATTCCTGGAGAATTCAGGGGTGGAGCCCGGGAATGGTGGGGTTTGGCCAGAAGGACCTCTTCAGGAGAAGGAGGAGATTGGATTGATACCACCTCCCTTCACTACCCAAAGGAGTCTCAGAGCGGCTCAAGACCTCCTTTCCCTTCCCCTCCCCACAACAGACACCCTGTGATATGGGTGGGGCTGAGAGAACTCTGACTGAGAACTGCTCCTGAGAGAACAGCTCTGAAAGAACTTGTGACTGACCCAAGGTCACACCAGCAGCTGCATGTGGAGGAGTGGGGAATCAAACTCGGTTCTCTTAACCACTACACCAAACGGTCTCTCTGCTAATGCCATAGAGCCCCCGCTCCGAAGCAGCCATTTTCTCCCATCAAACCTATTTCTGCCGGCTGGAGATCAGTTGTGATCCCAGGAGGTCTCCAGCTCCTCCCTGGAGGCTGGCAACGCTAACGAGAAGCAAAGCAGGGCGGGGGGAGGGGGAAAAAACCCTTACTGACGCTTTGGAGAATAAACGCAGTTGTTTTAAGGAACAATTGAAGAAATTAGTCAGTGGGAGTGATCGGTTCTGCTGGAAAGATGCCCCGACCTTGAACAAGGGCAGCCGGAAGGCTCCGATTAGTAGGGGCCAGGAAAGGCTGTAGAAAGGCCAGTAAGGGGACTCTCTTGCTGCCCCAAAGGAGGCCGCCTTACCCCTCTGTGTCTACCAACTCCATGGCCCTGCAGGCTTTAAATTCTTGCAATTCAGGGCCTCCCACCACGCAGCTTTCCGAAAAGCTTTCCATCGCCTCACAAGAGCGAGCGACCTACATAAGACGAGCG